TATATATATATTATATATATATATATATATATGTATGTATATATGTATATATAGTGTGTGTGTGTGTGTGTGTGTAGTGTCGTGTGTGTATGTTTTGTTTCTATGTATAGTTACACATTGTTCAAGAATATATGCATGAAAAAATATGCTTTAACGTATTGTATGTATTTTCACGTTCTGGTGTCATATATTTTATGCCCTTTGCTTATAGTACATATAGTTCACACAAACACACTATTTTCGTGTGTAAGCGTAAACGAATGTTGGTGTGTGTTTATGTGCCCTACCTACAAGTGTATGTATTCACATTATGTTGAAACATGGTCATTTGTATTTTCTTGCGTTTATGCATACATGTATGTTGGACGCTTACGCTGCAATATATATAGTCGGTGCAGTTTTATACTTATGCACACTTGTGCACTTATTTCGAAATAGAGCACATGTATGCGCATACACATTCTCAGATAAATATAGTTATTGTTGTCATATCTGCACGCCAACGCGTACTTCTATGCACAGTGCATGCGCTCAATGAAGGTGATGCTCGGGTTCTTTAAAATACATATAAGACGGTCTGGCAGTCGTATACAAATCCAGATCGACATAGGCAAAATTCATGAGGTATGGAGCCCTCTAGTCTGTGATTCATATGCGACAAAGCCGACTCAATCGACGCATCACAATTGCTTGCCCATTCCTTAAAACCAACATAGGAAATTGACGCTGAGTTTGTGCGAGGCCGAGAGATCGCAGCGGATATCTTGGGACAAGCACGCAAGTATGTGGCACACGTCAGGGATCTGCATGAGTCAGTTGCGGTAAGTACGCCGTATTTTTAAGATATAGACTAGGACTACCGCAGCTGTGCCGTCCTACAAGAATACGCGATTAGATTCGAGCCATTTCGATACGAGGCCACTCTAAACAATAGATAAGTAGAGAATTTAGTTCTTTTGTACTCGAGGGAGGTTCCAATACGTGAATAACGGGGTTTAAGCAATATCTGGTCATCATTTAGCAGAATTTTTTAAATCCTTTGATCACGATAACCATACCACACATCTATCCAATCACAGAATTGTTAAATCATTCGATCACGGTAACCATACCACACATCTATCCAATCCTCTCCCTCGTATCTCAGGGACAGTTGAATTGGGTTCTATTAATGTACCCCTTCTTGTAATTGCACAGATATGGAACCAGTTTTTCGATCTTATGAACGTACCTGCTCCCAATCGAGCAGCCCAGAGCACATCCATAGGCGCAACATATCAATCACAAACGAATGAACAACTCAGAGACACAGTATCGGACCACGGAAACAACGTATGGCCTGATGGGAAGGCCCAGACCCACGCACACAGCAATATGCACACCAACACACACACCAACACACACACCCACACACGCCCAAATACACACAACGAGTCACACAGCGACGTGTATGATAGCACACACACCACCGACGACAGCGGCGATGATGTGGTTATGGGGGGACTCAAAGAGGCAATCGTTACAGACATCGATGCGCGATCAGACTGCCCATCGGACGCTGGGGTGACGCAGCTTAAGCCCAGTGCACTGGTCAGTGGGTTTCATTGTTGGTGGCATCTACGAACTGTATACATATGTGTTGGATAAAATAGGGCTCTATCCTCATGAGTGCTTTCTTTGTTTGTAGACTCATTCTGTATAGATATAGATATCGACGGACAGTTGTTTGTGGACACCACATCAGATAGAGCATCGTTACTCGTATATGGCTGCTACATACAAATGTACGTGTGCAGTAATCGTCTTGACATATTGTCGTGCTCGGATTTGAATTTTTTTTAACCCGTTCATGTATATTGGTCGTACTAACCTTATCTGATCTGGACATCGGCGCTCCCGAGTGATTGGTGTAAACGTAATAGCAAGTTATGACAAATAGCTCATGTGTACCCATAGTTACAATTCTGATCCTACTATCGTGTCCTTGTCATTGCAAATTCAGGAACGACCGTCAAGACCACCGGTGGGCATAGACGCGGAATCCCCCAGTGTAGGGACTTTGTTCGACTCGCCTCTACGCACTACGCGAGTGTTCGATACGCCTTTCGCCTTGTCATCGCACAAAGCAACCACGCATCGGCACACAAGCACGCATAAGAACGCCTACGAGGAGATAAATCCGACTGAGAGTGATGTCAACTCGCTGGACATCAAGGGTGTCACGCTCGACATGGACAAGGAGGTGAATATATTGTTAACAACATGACCCAATGTATGTGCGATGCGTGCGTGTTTCATATCGCAACGTAGTTGTTGCGCACTCTTTCTCGTATTAAACCTGTGCAGGATTGTTGACTCGGGTTCGGTTGCTGTTTAGTGCTCTGTGTGATCTGGCTTGCATGAGTTTTCTGCACTGCACCTGTACACTAAACCGAAAGCACGGGGCGCTTGAACGATAAAAGTTCAGCCTTATTACAATCTCGCTCACCTAATAAGAATCACAAGACGCTGCAAACCTGTCCTTACGCCAGCCAACTAATAAGTGAGTGTTCATGTGGTGTGTAATCAGGCAGACGATGACACGGAAGACGAAGAAGCAGCCGATAATGTCACCACCTTCATCTCACTAGCTCCGGGATCAACAGATAGCCGTGCCAGCTCGCACAGCACACACGCATATAATAACCACGCCAACAGTGAATTCAAAGGCAAACTGACCTTCAAGAGAATAGGCGACTCCGGTAGGAAATATACACAAGGTGCGTTGAGTATCTGAAGTGTAGTTGGTTTGAGTTTTTGGTTGTTGATGGTACGTGTGTACAGCACGTGTCTGTTTATGTTCTGGATATGCTCTTAAGATCCACAGCTCTATAGCACTTTATCCTTATATATCTCACTCTGTGTGAAGATAGTGAGTTCGAGTGAGCTTCGGCGCACGAGTCTGGGGCAATGTGATTACTAGGTACTAACATACGAATGCACCCATTTTTTTTTCTATTATTACAGATTCAGAGTCTAAGGTCGACGCAAATCCTAGTGCAGGCAATAGCGCTGACCCAGCCAGGCCATTCGCGTTTGCAGTTCCCCTACCAAAGAACGCTATCACCCACGACACAAGCAATTCCACACAAATACCAGAGGCTCGAAATAGAACACATGGATCTAATATCCCAGAAGACGTGCACACAGAGGATACATACACAGACAAGCTGCGCACATCCAGTAACGACACCGGCATACAAGAAACAATACTCAAAACACACGCAGAGACAAATTCCCATGTACAGCTGTATGATAGCGATAGGGGTGGGTTGGATTCTGAGGATTCAGTGGGTTGCTCACCCACTCGCACAATCAAAATGATGCCAACTCCACAGAAAACAGATTCAGCCCTAATATCAGGCCCTGACATACAGGAGCCAGTGCGCGATGCTGCAGATATGGATGTATCTTTAGACAAGGAGAACGATGTCAACAGCCCAAATACACGCTACACTGAACAAGCACGCGCACACGTGCACACAGCCACAAAGGCACTTCTGGATACTTTTAGACAAGCAACGTTAGGCGCCACTGGTAGTTTAAAGAGTGTGTCTGAGGGACTAGCAAGCGGACAGCGCACAGATACACTTAGTATCGTGGCAAGGGCGGAAATTGGTGAAGGGATCGCCATAGATGGTAGTTCAGGCGTTGACGCTTATCGGCAAGATGTGTATTCAAATAACAAGGGGACAAAGGCCGACGCAGACCCGAATATAGGTGCGTACAGCAATGCAGACAGAAGCCCAGATGCGAAAGAAAAAGGGGCTTACGCAGCTGAAGACATACTTAAGCACACGGCCGATGAGATTCCTATGCACACAGCTGAGGAGACTAATGCAGACAGTGAAGAGAGTACGGACGAACTGGAAACACCCGCATTTATCAGGAACAATCCACGACTCAGTAGGTACGGCGGAAGGCAAAGTGTGGGACCAGTAGACATAGCAGGTGCGCATTCACGCGATGAGACTCAGCCGAAAAGCCAAACACAAATACACACAAAGACGCACGCCAGTACACTGCCAACTAGCGTTGGGCTTGCGCAATTACACTCGGCTGCGAAGACCCATACGCACTCACAACACGTTGCCACAAATTTGATGAGAGGGCATGCGGATGGCATGGTGTCTACAACTACAAAGGTCAACGTGATTGCGACGGATACGCTGGGCGTGGGTGGCAGTTCAGCTGCCACAGGTGCGTCTACCTGTTTGCCAGGTGTCAATATATAGATATGTGTGTGTGCATCCCTTTTTTGCTGGTCAACCCCTGGAATGTCCTTTGTGCTGTATGTGCATATTAAAAGTTCTGTTTCAGTGGCGGCCGGTATGTGACTCGTACATGGGCGTATACATGTGTGTACTCGAACATGGGCGTATACATGTGTGACTTCGTATGCTGTACCGAGTTATCAGATTGTGTTGAACTGTATTCTGTTCTCCGTATGTTTACTGAGAAATACCTTCGTGTACAGTTCGGCACTATGATCCAACGATCTATTTCTGTGGTATGCCTTGCTGTACTCCGACAAACTTCCGTGTGCAGTTGATAGTTGATACAGATATGCGCGTGCTCTTCGTGAGCTGCAAGTGCATGTAAGGATGTGTATCTGCCACATGCATGTGCAGGTGTGGTCATGTGGCACGCCCATGCTACCACTCTGTTCGCCACCACAAACTCAAATGCATTGCAGAATTACAGGGAGGAGTTGGTAATTATTAGGTGGTGCAGTGATGCAAATCAGTGTTGAAGTAGATGGATAGCCAACTGTTAAGCAACGATGCTGCCAAAGTGGAACAGGCTGATGGCGGAAAGGAAGCATCCTCGATCAATCGGACTGATCAGTCAAAGCTTAAATGCGCATATATACACAGTCACCATTTTATACTCATGGAAGCTGTCTGCCTGTTCTCACTGTAGAAGCTATAGGTGCTCGCAATTGTCCACACACTCTCACACATTCGAAACTATTGTTGCATTTTGCATTGGTCATATAATGCAACGTACAGCGCTGAATCAAGATCAAGTCACTGGCAGCGATACAAATGATCCCATGGCCGATGGAAGTGACGGGGACGGAGAACCGGATGTCGAGTTCAAGATTGAGTTATTCCCGATCTCTTACCAAACTGGGTCTGCCAAAGACGAATTGTGGGCTGTGTGGAGTTTGTTCTGGGAAGACAGCGAGTCCGACAATGCCAGGTCTTACGTATGTTTTCGTACTAGGCGATCGATCTGTTAGCGATTTGCCACGGCCACGTATCTGCCTTCAGTGCTTGTTTTGGAATGTGACGTGTCGCTGTCTATATATTTTTTGGATTCGCCTATTAGCTTGTGATATAGCTACGGCCCTTCCTTAGTGCTTGTTCTGGAATGCATTGCGTGGGTGTAGATTGATATCGCTTGGGGCTATCAGTGAACTGCACAATGTAGGAGTCCGTGTATTCTCTTTGATCGTATGATGTGTGTTTTTAACTATATCAATCGTTCGGAGAATTGGTTGGTTCAACTAACAGTCAGTGTTTTGTTTCTACTTGTTTGCGCCTAGCAGTTCGGTAATCATATTGAGGAACTGAATATACGTTGACGTCGCCATAACCTATTTGTTCATTTTTTTGGAACCTGAACATACCGTCCGAACGAACAAGCAAGGGTCTTTGCCAAACAGATACTTTGGTTGAGGTCGCTTTCCGGGTACCAGTTTTAAGTGCTTAGCTAGGGGGTTTTACGTTTTTAAAGCCTTTCCTCAACTGATTGTGTTTGTGTATTCATTGCTACATCTCTTGGTGCGTGATTCCTTCGCATCGTACATTGAGTCATAATAGACCCTAAATTACACAAATCATCTTTTACTACACCATACCAGACCATGGAATCCCTACGAACTCGCTTCCCCAATTTCGCACCCGACGGCTTGCGTCTGATTATCAGTATGTTATCATTTTAGTGTGTGTTATGTCGTGTATCAAATAATCAGCGTCAAACGTTGCTTGCCTCCCTGCAAGCTGAAAGGGAGGAGAGTATTCGGTATGTGGATTTGCTTCGCATTTGGTTCTCGCATTTTACTCTAACCGAAAACCACAAACATGTACGCTTCTGGTGATCTATGGCAGACGAACGCTTATGGCATAGGAGACTTGTTATTTCGCGTAAAGCGTACTCTCACCATATCTATGTATATAATGAGCAGACCATCATCAGACTTTCAGGTTCTTACACCTACATCCACTAGGATGACTTGAGTTGTACTCATCCATTTCCATACAAATAGACATGTACTTATATTTTACAAGTGTATTCGTCCTGCAACATACTAATGCAGACCTCTCTAAACATGTACACGATTTTATTCATAAGTAAACACATACAGATATAAATGATTTTTGTAGCGTACTTCTAAACCAGCCCAGTAGAACCTCAATTATAATTACCTCCTGTATCTTACTTCATTCTAGATATGCTGAAGGAGCGAAGTTTAATTGGTGAAGTTCTTCAAGGCGGGGCCTTTGCCTACCATTTAGCTTGACGGCACAAGCACAATGCATAGTAAATTCGTTGTGATAATAAAAATATATAATTCTAAGATCACAAAACGTCTGATCACTCGATCGATTTATGGGCTTCAATACTATGATTCGAACGTTTGTATTATTCGAAGACTGATCTGAAAGGAAATTTGGTTAATGATAATTGAAAGGTTTTGAGTAAAAATTCTTTCAGGACTACCCAATAGGGAATCCATTTGAGGTAATACTTCAATTCAATATAATATAACTTGGATAATAAAATGGAATTTCAGGGATCGCGCAGCCCAGTCATCTCATGTGTGTTTCTTCTGGAGATCCGGTATCAATCCGATTAGTGCGTATAAACTCATTTCGCCCATATTCGTCAAGCAGATCATACCAATGCACGATTTCTAAGTATGTGAACATGACTGGAAAGGATTGCCCCTCCGTCAATACAATGACTCCTATTCTGGCGCCAAAAGCTGACCTAATTACATCCGAATACCATGTCGGTGAGGATTGAGGAAGTGTCACATCAAGCAAAACCGCAGCGTAAGGTTTTATCACGCACGTTTCATAATCTTGAGTTTCCACTGCGCAGAAGGAAGGGCTCCTCTTTTCACATTTCAAACGACAAATATACTAATTTTTAACTTTACTCGCTCACTTACAGTTGCTCTGATAAATTAACTATGTTTTTCGACCTGAATGAAGGTCTCACCCATAAAATGACTTCAAACTAGAAGTACGAAGTAAAATGTCCGCTTTCCAAACTGTAGATGATATGCTTTTGAATTCAGCTTCAGTTGGGTGGTAGTTATAAATATTCGTGGGTGCAGAGTGAACTCGGAGAGTGATGGGCTGCAAGAGGGTCTTCAATTGTAGCACCGCACGCTGAAATGGATCATTTCTTCACTCCTCGTGGGCACACGAGTTTGTGAATCTTGTAATTGTTCTTCTGGCATGCGACATTGCAATAGAAGACACTCGGGCAGCATTGATTAGTAGTTGCTACGCCGCACACTACACAAATCTTCTTCTCCGTCGGTACCGTTACCTTACCCAGTCTGTGAACCATTGACTTGGGCCACTTCGCTAAAGTCGGTGAATGTAGCATCCATTTCGGTGGAAAGGCATTATCAATTGGAGGCTACCCTGGCATACGTATTTCAGGTTTTTCAGCATCCAACCCTTTCTGATACTCTTTAGCATTCTGGATATCTGTAGGCAGTTGTAGATAAAGAGAACCTAAAGAGTAGTGTGCATCTGGCATCTTTCTGTGATCCGGGGGGCTGTCCCTGATGAACGCGTCGATCGCTTCTTGAGTTTTAATTGGTAGGCTGCATTTTAAACAACAAAATTAGATGATTAGTGCCTTCCACTGGCAGTCTTGAAACAAAGATTCAAGCGACAGGGGCGTAAATTTCACATTTCTTTGTTGCTTATGTAGTAAACTACTCAGTTTCAGCGTGTACCGCAGAGCATCGGCTACAAGTCTAATGTACTTCAGTGGAACTAGAACCATAACCTGGTCTGATTTCAATGCTTATACCATTCCATATTTTAAAAAACAATACAAAGGGGGCCTACTTGAACAACGAGAAAGATATACCACTTTGCATATGTTAAATTGAACAGTAGGTGGTTCAAGATGTCTCACTCCGACTATAAAGCTGACAGCATATAATTATATTATCACTCCGATGTACTCTTTTACAAAACAATGCTTAAATCGTGGTACCAGTCGGTGCGACCGGGGTCTCGTTCCAAGGCACGACAGACGAATGAAGAAGACAGATGAAACATGCTAGCAAATTGATATGCACTGCCAAGTAGACGCGTGATATCAGCTTCTTCGGGATGAAGTTTCACCAAGTGTGAGAACCTAACTACCATCTCGCGAATACGGGGGGTGGAATCGGGGTGACTTACCAAATAAAAGGATGCGTCTGCGTGCACCCCATTCTCCTGTTGAATATAGGCATAGCATCCAAAATGTTTATAGTGAAATGTATATTATGATTTGGATAAAACCCCTACTGAGCTGAACAAGTGCCTCAAAATGTTAATGAACGCCCTTGAAGCAGTTGCCATGATTAACTGCATAAAATAGTTCAAGGGCAAATGTTGCAAGGTTGATTCTTTCCTATATATAACTTCTACTTAGAATAACATGTAGTACGTAATTGAAAACCAATCACCGGTTTCGTTAGGACCTCGCAAATTTGACAGCATCATATAAACCTACCATGTGCAGACGTTTCGTAGCGACTAGCTTAATCAGTCGAACCTCGTTCGTTGAAGATGCTACTATATCGGAGAGCCTGGCCACTTTTCGCAAATCAGCCAAATATTCGTCAGCGTATTGAGCACTTATATCTGGTGTATGAGCAATGAACAAAATGTTCGGAAGTCAGCTAAAGTATTTAGTGAACGGTTAACGCAGCGGAGAACGACGATAAAACACTATAGATGAAAAAATATTGTAAAGAAACGGCGACATAACCCATCTCATACAGATGGTGCCACATCGGTAAATGGTTAATAAAACTACATTAAAATAAGCAAAATAGGTGGGAATCCATCGTGAAGGATATATGTAACAGCAGCAGACTTCGGAGGCTTGTCCATGTAAATGCCCAATCGAGGGCTGTCCAGCATGACACGTTACCTGCGGCCATACCCACTACGCGGTCGAGGACTCTGACGTTCAACTCGAAAGCTTTCATATAGTCTTGCGCCCCAACAAATCCTTCCTTTGCCCGCATCCATATCCGCTCCAGAGTCGTATCATCAGCGGTAGACTCAATGGGCTTCAGAGTGGGTTGTTTGTGCGTCGCCATACTTTTATAAGATTCCCGCAAAGGGTTCAACATTTCTGCTTTCTCGGCAAGCAATGTACTAACATCGCCTTCAGCATCAGCAGAGGGTGTACAAGTGTCCCTGAAATGTGGCAAGTACCGGGTGTTGCGTTCTCGCATAGAAAGACCTTGAAAAGCAAGATTAGATTATTTCTCGTACGTACATATTTTTGTACCGATCTCTGTCAGTATCTAGATTGCTTTCGGGGTAGCCGCTGACCAATTTTGTGAAGCGCTGATACATCCGTCTGGCCTCTATCGGATCGAGCTTACAGCTATATCCGGTTGCGAGGCACTTCTGTGAGAAGATGCAGCGCTCGACCAGATGCCCTGAAGTGCTAATGATTTGCAAAGATTAGGATGGCGCGTAGGTCCACAAATTGCATAGATCAAGAGTCACTGGTTCAAAAGCCGCTAGCATGCACTGTATGAGAATATACACGTACATCTATCCGAATAGCATATTGCACCACATACTCATACAATCAAATGCATACCTTTGTTTCCATCCCTAGTTGTATCTATCCCGTTGATTGAAGCTTTTTTCAGCGCGGCGTAAGCCTTCTCAGGCACCTTCCTTAGTTTATGTACAGTTCACCAAGAGTATTGTATACACTCACGGCACCCATCGCTCCGGCTCGTTCGTAGTACTCTGCTGCCTTATCAAAGTCTTGAAGCACGCCTCCTTCACCCTGTTGGTGGTTGTCCGCCAGCAGCAACATATCAAAAGCACTCTTGACAGGAGCTTCTTCCTCAACCAGCTTGGTGCTTGTGCTTGCACTTGCACTCGGGATCTATAAATTAACCGAAGTGTTTGAAAACTCTAGCGGCCGCGATAAACAACATGGTAAATCAGCACAACGATGATAACAAAGATGCTCACAAATATAAAAGCAAAAAGATCTATCGCACGACCCACGCTAATTATATTGCTTCGCTATAGCACTGTTATATATTCCTTAACTGAAGTCCGGTGGAAAAGCATATCGAAAGCACACAGCACAGGCAGAACGCGTATGGGTTTACAATTCGATACAAACCGCACAGAATGTGTACATACCTCGTTTGCATACGCAACGTTGCAGCAACGCAGCCGCTTCTGGAATATCGCCCGCCTTCGCCTGCCCCAACATCTACTTTGCCAATTCTAGATCCTTTTTACATTACCACCTTCTTCACTTATCAAAAGCATGGCAATTCGTACATGTTTCGGGTAGCCCACCTGCATCTGATGTTTGCTACTTAGAATACACTTGTCGTTTACTATCCTAGAATACACTTGCTACTGACAGAGACATACTTATATTTGTTGTTTGCTGTCCTGGATAACGCTTGTTATTGACAGCAGGCTTGCTTGTACCTGTTGTTATATGGATAGGACATGCAAAGTCAGTCAGCCCTCACGGCTTATAAACCCCATTTGTCAGGAAAACTTCCAAGTTATTCATACCAAGCAGGCACCCGAGCTCGGCCGAGCGAACGTAGTTCAAACGCTTTGTGGTAATCTAGATTCGCTCCCCCTGCTGTCCCTGTATGCGTTTACCCATAAGGTTCTCGACTTCTACGTCACCGATATCCAAGTGTACTTTTGAGCCACCAATTTTGAAATATGGTTTCGGTTCAGCCGCTTCTCTGGCCCAGCGTAACAATTTTTTGTTGTTACCAGTAAGACAGGCAAGGTCGTATTGGCCCTCCGCATTGCCCAACACTGCCGCCTCCTTGTATGCCGCCATAGCCCGCTTCAGTTTGCCACTATCTCGGAACTTGTGCCCTTTCACCACCAGATTGTATTGCTGTAGGCTCAAATCACTCACTGGTTGGTGTCCGCAATCACAAGCAAGTGGGTTCAACTTGCTCATCTTCACGTAAAATTGTATCAGTTGTGCTTGGAAGTCAGGGTCGCCGCCTGCTTGCCCTAAAAAGAATTCACTCGTGTTGCCAGCAAAGCCAGATGTGTTGGAGACAACAAGCCTGAGTACGTATAAATGGGTACCCGTGAGGTAGTGAGAAAGTAGCATTCAGACTCGGGATGTACTTTTATACCACAGCTGATAGTGACTTTAGTTGGTGCGAAAATTTTGTATATATAAGCGCATTCGCATGAACTTCAATGTGATTGTGAATGTGATTGTGATTGTCCAATTCCGTATAGCGTCGATGTGGCGAGTTCAAAGAAATACAACCGCCGAAACCCCAGCACACTTGCACTTTTCGATATCTTTAGGCTAAAGTGAGAAGCTTGAGCGATTGAACGTACAGCAGCAGCAATCAAGAGACGATGCGTGCAAGCACCCCCACACATATCCGGTATATGAAACATGGCTACGTAACAGTTACAAGTGACTAGGACTACAAAACATCCCAAAATGCTACATATAGCCAACAAAGACATGTAACAAAGTACAATACCTGCCATATATGTAAACAATACGTTGCGATTGCTAACAGTCTGTCTTCGTTCCTCTATACCCAAAAAGGAAATCTGTTATACACGTATCTCGTAGTTCTCTCTTCTACCATCGTTAACATACTTTCAGTTTCTTCTGGCATCGTTAACATGCTTCTTTTTGCATTGTCAACATACTTTCTTCTGGTATCATTAACATACTTTCTTCAGGCATTGTTAACATACTTTCGTCTGGCGTCGATAACATACTTTCTTCTGGCATCGTTAACATACTTTTGTTAACATACTTTCTTCTGGCAACGTTAAAATACTTTCTTCTGATATCATTAATATACTTTCTTCTGGCACCGTTAACATACTTTTTCTGGCCTCGTTATTATACTTTCTTCTGGTATTGCTAACATACTTTATTTTGGCATTGTTAACATACTTTCAGCTCGCATCGTTAACATACTTTCTTCTTGTGGCATCGTTAACATACTTTCTTCTTGTGGCATCGTTAACATACTTTTGTTAACATACTTTCTTCTGGCATCGTTATAATACTGACTTCTGACATCATTAATATACTTTCTTCTGCTTAGCTAACATACTTTCTATTGGCATCGGCATTATACTTTCTTCTGGCATTGTTATCATACTTTCTTCTGGCATCACTAACATACTTTCTTCTGCCATCGTTAATATACTTACTTTTAGCATTGTTAACTTACTTTCAGCTCTCATCGTTAACATACTTTCTTCTGGCATTGTTAACATAGTTTCTGGCATCGTTAACATATGTTCTTCTAGCATCATTAACATACTTTCTTCTGACATCATTCACATATTTCTTCCTGGCATCCTTAGCATACTTCCTGTTAAACATTCATCTATCTCCAAGGTACAAACACACCTGGCTTCTGCTGCTTGAGCGATACCATCTCTACTGCGGTCAACAGCACTCAGTCATCAGGCACGAGCTTCATACATTCAATGCAAGTAACCTTAGCTTCCTTTCATAGTTCAAGACCTGCGAGGGGCTCACATGGCGCACGATAATACTTCACGTTGCGGCCGTCCAATTCAATTGTGTCCTCAGCATCATCTCGGACTAGTTTGTCGTTCAAGGCGCAACGTACATAGTGTACGATTCGAATAGAGCTCGACCTACACACATTGTATGAGAAAATAATGTTTGTGAAGACGTGGGGGTGGCACCTATAGAATATAAATGTTTTGGCAGCTGACATGCGCGATTGGAAGGGCGCCTCGTAGAACAACAATTCTTGAAAAACTGACTTTCGTGTCGAGGTGTAGGCAGGCAGCAGTTCGGTATCAGATGTATGGCATCCCATACATAATACGACGTAAAAAAATTAAGTATACAAAGCTGTTGCTAGACAGGTGTGATCATGTATGTTGCCAAGACAACAAGTCTTGGTTGGTCACCTACCTGACTGGCATCCAACGAGAAGGCTGTGGTATACGCCTGCATAGCCTCGGCATACTTCTTCTGAGCGTAGTGTGCATTGCTAACCTCCTCGTGTTAAAGCCAGCGCTTTCCCTCGGTATCAAACTGGGCAGCGAACTGCGCCTCCATTTCCGCATGACCTATGAGGATAATTAGTGTGGTAAGGTTGCGCACGCCTCTACTACAAGCAGTGTCGTCGATCTCATGTCCTTTCTTCATCGCAAACACGAGATTAGCACACCTCCTTCCAACTGTACTAACCTTCTCAGAGCCTCCATTGACTGTCACAATATGTGCGACAGCATCCCTGAACTGACGAGAATGGCCTTGCGATCAGTACAGTCAGAAATACTCACATGACTGCCTGCAACACCTTCAGCATGTTTTGCAGCGTACTATGCTCGTGCACATATGGCAGCGCTTTTACTAGCAACTCCAATATGTGTCTCTCACGGACAACTTGTCTTGTTGTTGGACTGCCCGACGCATTGTTGGACATATAGTGTCATTGGGATTGCGATTCGCACACAAGCATACCAGGGGTGTGGTGTGTGCTCAGCCTATCGTGTGGCAAGTATATAAATTGAACAGGCATAGCCTCCTAAAAAATGAAACTTGCTCTATTCTTTGTTTTCATAGAAAAAAGGGACTATACTACAGCTGGCGCCAGGCCGCAGATTTGAAAATGTTTTTCACCAAACAACAACAAAAACAATTAAAGTCAGAGTATATATATAAACATA